ATTTAAATACTCTTCCTCTAATTGATCAATAGATTGAATGCAATCCTAGTCAAAATACTAGTGAGTATTTTATGGGCACTCTTAATGTGATACTAAAATTCCTATGGAAACAAAATGGTACAAAAATAGCTAAGGCAATGTTGAAAAATAAGACTAAATCCAGACAATTTAGATTACCATGTATCAAGATTCATCACAAAGCTACCTTCATTAAGACAATGTACCATTTTTGTAACAATAAACAAAATGGGTGAAATGAAGAAAATACTCTTTATTAATATTTAAATAAATAAATTTAAATTTTTCCTAGAAAGATTTTCAAAAACACCCTTAAACTCAGAAAAGCAAAGTCAAGTTGCTTCAAGTGGTGCAAAGATGAATCTCCCACCAGAAGCTAAATTAATTCAACATTTCATGAATAACCACTATCAGAAATGAGTATGGCGTCTCTGTTCTTGAGAACTTAAAACAGTTAGCGATAACAGGGTAATGCATAATGATATAACGCAGTGGTTCCCAAGATGTGGTATGTATTTGCATACCACTGATTATGACTATAATAAGCAATCCAAGTCTTCCTGGGATCAGGGCTGCGTATCTGCAGCAGGAAAGAAGTAATAAGACTAAGATTTATTCTGCAATAAGCTCGTTTCTGCAATAATGGCATTATCGGCATCAGTCTAAGGTCAACCTGAGATGCAGAAAAAGCAGTGGTGCTTGAGGTGGAGCAGAGCTGCCAGGCCTACCAGTTGTCCCTTCTCGCTATAGAGACAGATTCCCTAAGACTGGAAAGAGCCAAGCCAAACTATTTAGGCAGCCCTCTGCATGCTCATCCATGGGCTATTCAACCTGTAGTGTTTCCAATAACGGATAAAGGAAGAAGAATCAGAGGATAGAAAAAGAGAGTGGTATGCACAGCAGGAGTAAGCCTAAAAACCCAATCATGGTTAGGTTCAGATGTCCTAGGCCACTATATCACCCACCATCCAGAAGTGCTATAAAGTTTCCTTTTAAAGAGAAAGAAGATCACTTTTAAGAAAACAACTACACGATTAACAGACAGGCTGTATGAGAATCGGGCAAAATAATGAAAGAGATACCAAATCACAAGTTTTAGAAACACTACTATAAGACATACACAACTGAACATATAATACATTATAGGACTGCCCTATAAATAACACAAGGAATAAGTACCATCAAGATCAGAGAGGAGAAATCAATTCCAGGGAGGGGGCTCAGCTAAGAGTTCCAAAGAAACTGAGACTTACTAGGGTGAGTACTAACGAGTGGACAAAACAAGCTAGAGGCACTTGAGAGGAAGCAAGTGGTAAGCAGGGAAGAGCTTAAGCGAAGAGATAGATATCCAAAGCAGAGGTAGAACACAGTGTAGCCCCTTTAGGAAAAGAGAAAGGTTCTCAGTCTCAGTTCTTCATTTTCTTACACAGAAAATTACCTACATTTATTGAGGTTATTACATATTCTTAGACAAATAATAAAGGTTACCTAGAATGTGTTATTCCACTGTGTATGTGAAAATACAATTTAGAAAATGACATACGCCTACACAGCAATAACTTAAAATGGGTATAATTATTTCTATATTATCACAGATCTAAGGTACCTGAATAGCGGTAAACACCATGATAGAATAGGTGTTTCCCATCTATCATTTTATTCAGAAACCATCTGGGAGTAATAAAATCTCTTTCCTGCTTATGCCCGCTTGTTAGATTTCTATCTCTTGCTCAGCAAGTTCCAAACAGGCAAAAAAAAAAAAAAAAAAAAATGGAGGGGGGTAGGGAGTAACAGAGAAGAAAATCAGTAAAGTCAGTATATTAATCCAGGAGAAAAATTACTTAGGTACAGAAAACAAAAAAGAAAGAAATTTTCTCAATTGTATATCCTGGAAAGATGAATTCTTTAATATAAAATAAGTAGAAATAGGCATTATTATTAAATAGTCTTTAATGTGCTTCTAATTACATTTTTTTTAGTTTTATATTATAAAATAATTAATGTTCCTCAAACAAATTATGTACTAATACTCCGAAGTAAATGGTATAACTGTCTAGGTGCTCAAAGAAACCACTCCACTCCCTGCACAGTTTCAATCTGCCTTGTGACTCTGAGACTACAGCACTCATTTTTTCACCTCAACAATAATGAAGCTCGACCAGATGATCTCTGGAATTTCAACCGGCTCGGAATGTTAATGATGCTACATTACGTATATAGGCAATCTACCATTTCCGTTTTTCTAAACTAGGCATCTTAAATGAGTATTTTTCCCTAAAAATGTTGGAAAGTTTTCAAAATGTGTCACGTTTGGGAACATTAAAATACAGACAAATTAGTAATTTCTTTACAAATAAATAAGTCCTTTATTTCCTACCATGTTCCTAGAAACATGGAAGTACTGAATAAAATTCAGAAATGTGTAAAAAACTTAAGCAGCAGTTATTAAAAGTAAAACTATATATAAAATAGTCCTTATTCTCTTAAGTAAGTTGAAGCCTGGTATTAGTAAAAGACTTACCACAATAAAAAATTAAGTAGATTGCCTACTTTTTGCGGAACTTCTGCAATTACAGTATTTAAAACTATAGTCACTGCCCTCTGTATAATTCTAGTACATAATTGCTAACTTTCCTGAATTTCCAAAACTTACACGTGATTACTTTTACATACATCTGCAAGGAAATTTACCATTTACCATTGCAAACACCGATTTATTAAATAATAAAGAAGTCCATGCTTTATAATTCAGTATTAAATTTCTCACAGAGAAATCAAGAAAAAAAAAAATCCTATCATGGATAGTTATCAACAGTCTTTGTAAGTCTTCCAAACAACATTTCATTAGAGAAAGTAAGTTAAGTGGGAGCTGCACTTAAGGAGGATGCTCGTGCTTTGGCCCTTCTTCGAACTAATGCTTCTTGTCTCTTTCTCTGAATCTCTTCAGGAGAGTATTTTCTATTTTTCTCTTCTTCATCTAAAAATTAAACAAAACATACAAACATGAGTTGTATCAACATTAGTTTTCTATACTGTGAAGTCAATCTGAGTATGATTTTTTTTTTAATACCTAGATTTGCCACACTGGTTTGGCTATTAAATCACACTACCAGATATATGACTCCAAGAACATACAGATATAGTGCTCCAGGTCAAAGGAAAATAAAGTACTGATTGATCTGTCCCTATCTGATGTTCTCTTTCACACTGTGATAAAACTCATTTGATTAAAATCTGTTTATTTTGATTACTCACCAAATAACTAGTGGAACTAGCATCCAATTTATATAATCTACAAATGAATCTATTTTCAAAGTAAACAAAGTAGGATTTTAAATATTACATAAATTTTAATCTAACAATAGTCAAAATATAATGTATATCAAAGTACTTTGGAGATCAATACCTCAGACAGTACGCTTTTAGTATAAGATAAGCTATCTTACTATTGCTATTTACCTTTTCCTCTATAGAGCTACCAGGCTTTCATTTCAGCCATTGAGGGAATCTTTCAGAGTGCAATCTCTCCTATCAACAAATTTTAAATTTGGTCACCTGTGACTCACTGTCAGAGATATTTACATTTGGATATATTTATTTGGAATACATATTTTATATAAACATATAAACGTTAGAAAATTATCTGGAAAAGCAGAATACATGAATACAATCTATAATTTTAATGCCTTTTTAATATGTAAAAATGTGAAGGAATTTTGATATATTCTTATGTAGCATACTCTAGTGTGTATTTTAGATAAACATACTAGAAAGTAAATAACAAGTTTTAAATTAAGTAAATGAATATAAGAAAGTTCCACTTTAATAACACCTCCAATCCTTTTTTGCTAAATCAGAGTTCTGAAAGAGTGCATTTAATTCCATAGTTCAGTCACTTTTAACTAAAATATTAGATTATCTATATAATGTTGACAAGAATCAAATTTTAAAGTTAACAAACCTATTTTCTCATTTAAATGGTACTTTAAACTTAAGACCATCGCCCTAATACATAGTCAAACTAACTTTTATTGGTAATATTGTTTATATTGTAAAATTGTCTTTCAGGAAAGTAAATAAGAATCCATAATACTGTTAGCAGAGAAATATTACTTATATTGCCACCTAGATAAAGGTTTAGAATTTATGTTAGTAAAATATTTCTCTTGTTAACTAAGAGAAAAATATTCCCAAAATACATCCTCTGTCTCCCCTTCCTTTCTTGGGATAATTGGAAACGGGAGGGGGAGTTTAGGTAAGAGAGAACATATTTTGGATAAACTTCCCAGGTTATTCTGATAAATCTTCTATTTCCTAAGCTAATTAGCTTACAGGCAGATACTAAAACATACTTTATATTGGTATGACTATATAATATTTTGGCCTCAAAGCTAAGAAACACAAACTCAGAATACACACATGTGCATATAAATACAGAATTTACACTTAAGTTTGGAAGGAAAAGTAGGTTAATAACCCATGACAGCAGAAAAAAATATAAATCCATTCACAATTGGCTTGGTGATATTCTGGAAAATAATTTCAAATGAGATACATAAAGTCACACCACGAACATTTGACTTACGCAGAGTCATCCATTTTTCCCATCAGTCGTTGCTTTAACCCAATCTAAAAATACACAGTCTCAAACTACCGCAAGGTATAAAGCAAAAGTGGCTCTTCATTTTTATCCTAAAGCAGGGGTCAGCAAATTTGTTCTAAAACGGATCAGAAAGTAAAAATGTCAGCCTTGGTAGGCCATATGGTTTCTTGTTGCAACTGTTCAACTGCCATTATAGCAAGGAAACAGCCATAGATAATACATAAACAAATACAGTGACTGTGTTCAAATAAAACTTTATTTATGGACAAAGAAATTTCAATTTCATATAATTGTCAAACGTCATGAAATATTATCCTTCTTTTAGTCTTTTCTCAACCAATTAAAAATGTAAAAATCATTTTTAACTTCCTGGCTGTACAAAAAAACAGGCTGCAGGCTGGATTTGGACTGGCCAGTATGCCAACACCAGCCTTAAAGCAATGCAGTAGTTAAGTGACTTTTCCATATCAAAATAAAAGGAAGTAGAAACAATAGAAAATATCAACAAGGTTAGTAGTAATTAAGAGATCATGTGCTGTCAATAAATTTAAAGAAAAACCTAATAAGCAAACTGAAAAGCAGATTATTTATTAAAAACCAAAATATGATAGTAAATAGGTGTTCTGGGGAAATTCAAATACTTCAGATTTAGTCTTTAATGAAATGGGAGCATGGCCCAATTACTTACAATATACTCCCTTTAATATTAATTTAAATATTTAAAATTCTTACAGATTGATAACCATTTAAAAAGTTTCAAAATATCTAATACGGGCTATAATGTAAATAAATACTCACTCTCAGTGTTGATAAGAATTAACTTTTTTGTACTACTGTAGTTTTTTTGGAAGGCAATTTGGTGATATCCTTCCAAAATTCAAAACATTCTCTGACATTAATTTTCTACAAATTAGCAAATACAATTGTACAAGATATCTATGCAGAAGGATATTCACTATAGTATTATTTGTGATTACTAAAAACTACAAATAATCTAAACACACATCAATAAGGAAATAATAGTTAGATTAACTATGGTAAAGCCACATAACGACATACTACTAACAATAACATAGTCAATAAAATGACTGAAGCAATCCCTATGTACCAACATGAAAAGACAGCTATATTAAGTGAAAGGAAAAGCAAGTTGTCAAATAGTGGTTATATAGTATATAATTCCATTTATTTAAATAAATCTACACACACACACACTTATAATGTATGTGGACACATACACACGTTTTTATATGCATAGAAAATACTAAATGATGTATACCAAACTGTTAAACAAATGGCTTCCCCTGAAGGGGGAAAGGAGAAATAGAGGATTATTTTTCTCTCTCTAGGAAAGGAGAAATAGAGGACTTAGCTTTTTACTTCAAATTATTCTATACTACTTAAAAAAATAAAACTAGCATATAATTGTCATAAGTTTTTAAAAAGGAGGTCACTTAAAATACAAAAGTCATAGCAGTAATGCCAACAGAAGCATCATCTCAAATCTAAACAAGAAAAAATGATAATCTAATGTTAAAAGAAAACTCAGAGAGATTAATTAAGAAAATCTGTAATTACAAGCCAGCATAGTAAATGCTGTAATAAAAATTAGCATAGGATATTGGAGAAACCCAGAGAAAGTGAATCCAAATCATTATGGGTGATTAGAAACACACAGGATCTTAAAAGACAAATGGTGTATGCACATGGCGGCACTATGTTTCTGGTGAAAGAAATAGCATCTGTGAAGACACGGGGCTATGAGAAAGCACTGAGAATTGAAAACCACAAGAAGTTATGTCAGATATTCTATTTCCTTTAAAAAGAAAACAGTATGAGTAACAGACTCTTTACATTATATCGCATGATGTTCATTCAAACACTTATTCAGCACCTTCTAACTGCCGGATGTCGTGGTAGGCCTAGGTATACTGGTAAGACAGACCATCATAAATAAATATTTAATTGCAACCTGTGATTTAAAAAAATGAAGTTAAGAGAGATAGAAAATAACAAGGAGAAAGCTGACTTATAGATTGGTCAAGAAGGGCCTCGGTGAGAGAAAAATACTTAAACTGAGACCAAAGGATAAGAAAGCACCAACCAAAGAGGGTGGGGGAAGAGGCAAGTGTTGGGAAGGAGTACTTTTAGTCAAAGAGGATAGTATGGTTAAAGTTTCTAAATTAGGAAAGAAACTATTCTTTTTGAAGAAGTGAAAGACAGTTGATATAGATGAGGTCTAGCAGGTAGAGGAAAAAGTGGAATGAAACAGGATGGACAGGCAGGTTAAGGAGAGAGAATGCAGGACCTTATAGGTCAGTGTAAAGTCGGTATTTTATTTAAATATGATAGGTAGGCATTTATGGTTGTTTTAAGCACAGGAATGCCAGGTTTGCCTATGTTTTTAAGATTGCTGCGTGGAGACTAGAAATGAAACAGGCAGGTAAAAGAACTGCCGTAGTCTAGTCCAGAAATGTTGGTTTGGACAAGGGTGGCAGCAGTAAAGAATGAGAATAATGTATAGTTTCAAGAAATATTTTTTAAGGTAAAGACAATGGAACATGTTGATAGAACAGAGAACTGGGTGGGGAGAGGAATGAGAAAAATCAAGAATGACAAATTATATCAGGTAAATAAATCACAGTTCTGTCACAACACTGAGTTTTACATCAGATATATCAGCAAAGGTGTTTAATTAGAATGCTCTAAATCTTCAAATATTGTTCACCTCAGTGCTTTGCTGAAAGTAAAAGTAGACATAGAATACTCAAGTTTTGAAACAATGAGATATTTAGTAAATACAAACACTCTTAAAACTACAACAGCAATACATATTCCTAAAAGTGTGATTTTCCTGGAAATAATTCAGACATCATTCAACAAAATTTATTGAATGCCTATTACCTGCCAATCATTGTATTAAGTGGGGGGGGGGGGAATTCCATGTAACCTTTTGAAAAATATACTACTCATTCTCTATATAAACCAAACCTACTGCCGTCAAGTCAATTCCAACTCACAGCGACCCTACAGGATAGAGCAGAACTGCCCCATAGGGCTTCCAAGGAGCGAGTGGTGGATTCGAACTGCCAACGTTTTTATTAACAGCCATAGCTCTTAAACCACTGAGCCACCAGGGCTCAATTATTTTTAAAAACTACTTCAAGAATTCTAGTTAAACATTATAGAATGGTTTTTATACTTTACTCAAACTCAAAACAACAAATAACTGCTTTCTAAAATGATACTTTTAAAAGAAAATTATTTCATACATACCTTTTGAAGGTTGTTTCAAAGATTCAGAAATCTTTGTCAAAGATTGCTGTTGAAAAACCTCCTCACGTAATGGGTTGACAGGTGGAGTTCTACTTTCCTCTAAACTCTGTGTCATTTTGGTATCAGACATACTTCCTATTGTACAATTTTGATTATACTGAGAATGAGTCTGAGAATTTTTCATCTTGGTGAATGTATACTTTGAAAATTTAACTGTTCTGTTAAGATCAGTCCGAGTGTCATCTGTTCCTGCCCTGTAAGATAGATGCTGACTATTCAATTTCTTATTAGTAGTAGGAATTTCTGAACTCATATGACCTGAACTCACATTTAAACTTGAACTTCCAGCAAAAACCAATTTGGAACTATTCACTTTTATTGGAACATCAGTGTTATTCCAAGAGACACGCAAATTATCAATCTCATCATTTGAGCTCCTAGAGTACATAGTCAAATTTGTTGTGGCACCTAAAATACTTGGAGAATTTCCAGAAGTTTCCCCTTTCTCCATCTTCACTGATTTATCTATTTGTGAGTGATCTGTCAAGGAAGATGTTTGCACTGTAACGCTGCCCAGATTCAAATGCTTTGATTGCACCAACTGACTTCTCTGGTTAGATGTAGCAAACATGTTTTTAGCTCCAGGTCTGGAACTATTATTGATCTCAACTACAGTTTCTGATGTCTTGCTCTTGCTCTCCTTTCTAATGTCTTGTTGCTGAGTTAGTCTTTCAATATCATCACATGCTTGGTATAACAAATCATCATCTACATCATCTGTTTCCCAGGTATTCTCTAATTGATGACATGCTTTAATAATTTCATTGGCAAAGGATGGATCATTCCAATCATCCAGGAAGGAGCCTAAATCTGGTGCCTTAGTCTGATTTGGCTTATTACCTGATTTGGTTTTACTGGCTGAGGGTACAGAGCCAAAAAGATCTGCATTAGCAGGTGTCTTAAAAGAGTGATTAGAAATGGGCTTATGTTTCTGTTCATTAAAATATCCTGTGTTCAAAGCAGACTTCTTTTCAGAAGCATTTATAGTAGGAATAAATTTAGTATGAATATCTTCCTTTATTTTTGTTATATTAGATGCAAGTGCACAATCTTGAATTTTGTCTTGAATAATAATTTTATTGAAAGATTTCTCAAATTTCATTTTATTTCCAGATGATAATAATTGGTTTGACTTATCATTTGAATCTGGCAAAAATTTATGTTTCTCAGCATCTATTAATTCTCTGTTATATGTCCTTGAAGGAAGATCTTGTAAACTTTCTGAGTCACTTAGCCTGGCATCTAGATTTGTATTCGTTCTTGATTTACTTTTACCATTTTTACTGTCAAAAGTATAAACACCCTTGTGAACAGCACCCTGAGTTGTTTTAGGCACAGGTAGGAGTTCAGGCATTTCCACATTTTGTATTACAAAAGGTTCATTTCTGAGTAATTTTTCCCAGTCCTCCTCAAAATCACTGGTAGCAAACGGATCAACGTGCTTATTAAAAGTTTCTGGCTCCTCAGTACAAGAAGTCATACATGATTTTGTCATTATGGGAGTATCTACTCGAGAAGGAAGTGATTCTGGGGTTTTATTTTGCAGAGTTACAGGGATCAGAGTTTCACTGGTAACGATCGCCTCTTCCAAAGTACTTTTGTTTCCAAAGGTAGTGGTACTGGTGTTCAAGAAAGTATCTGGCAGATCTTGGCTTAACTGTCCACAACTCTTCTGAGTGGAGCCATCAAAAATGGCATTAAAGGCTGCTTCAACACTTTGGTCAAATGACTTGTGGCTGCTATTTTGATCATCTGCTGTAGATACCTCGGTGTTTTCCTTCATTGGCTTCTTCATTATAACAGTATCTGTTTCGGGAACTGACTGCATCTCTACATTATCTTTATAATCATTGAATGTCTCCGTTTCTGAAATCATCGGGATAAAATCCTGATTCCTATTGCTCTGCTCTTGAATCACATCTAGTTCTTCCATATTTTTATCAAATTGCTTTGCCAACTTCATAAGTTCTTCTTCTTGATTTTGTGTTTTTAACCTATTAAATATTCAAAAAATTATAACTGAGAAATGTTCTAAGAGCCATTACGAATATTCAATTATTTAACATGTTTTGATATATTAAAACATGGAAACTTTAACACAATTATTTTAACTCCAAAATTTTACATGTCAGAACAAAGGAATGGATGTACTAGTCATTTTAACACATTAACAAAAACCAAAATAGAATACGATGAAAAATACTTGCTTCACTGAATCCCAGAAAAGTTTGAACTCACTTAGTGCAGCTGATTTTTGCTCTTGATTTCCCTTTTGCTACACTGGGAGTACAAGGAATAGCAGTGTCACCAATCCACACGCCCAGCATGGAGTTTGTTGTTGGTTTTTCATCCTTTGGCAGAAGGGAAAAAAAGATGTGCAAAAGTACACACACGAAAGGTAGAAAGAAAGAAAAGAAAACAAACGTTAACTATTTTGAAATTTTCCCAAGAGCAGTAAATTCTGGTAAGAGTTAGTTACCAAACAAACTCAAAAACAATGAGATGGCAATATCAAGTCAGAAGAAGTGATCCATTTATGTTCCAGGAAAAGAAAAACATACAGAATTAGGAATTCCTTATTTTAAAAAAAAAAAGTTTTAAACATTAAATTATTTATCAAATGCATATTTATACTAAAAGCTCATGTTTTATCCAAAAACTGAATAACTTACTTCAATTTTCTTAAGATATTCATAAAAATAAACATTAGTATCAAAAATAAACAATATAACGTTGTCATCAAAATTGAGAATAAAAGGAGATACTTTCTGTATCATCTGATTCTCCAAATTTTCCCTTCCCCCATTATAATCTCTATCTAAAAGTGAATAATCCATGTCGACCTGAATTGAGAACACTTGGAAGGAATTAAGGTCAGAACTGAGGGGTAAGAGCAAGGTTAGAAATGATGCCAAGACTGAGACAGGGACAAGAACAAAAATAAGCAGAGATGGCAAAGAAAGAAGTTGAACCAGGATGAAAGTAAGGAAAAGGCCATTTTAGTCCTGGATATTTTTGCTATGCCTTTCAGACCATGTAAAAATTAAAGAATGAGCTTGATACATTAGATAAGAACCAAACCAACAAATCAAATAGAAGACACATTTTCTACTCTATTTTTTTTATTATCTAGAATAAACAAAATAGGAATAATCTAATCCCTACATTATAGGTTACTTGAAGGCGAGGACTCTTAAAATATCTCAGCATCTAGGCACAATGCTGGGCATATGGAAAATGTCAGTTCAAGTTTATTTACTAGGTTTAAGTGAAAAGGGCCCTGCAACTCAGTACTTTAAAATCCTCAGCCAATCAACCAGCAGTTTTCTTAGATGCCCACTTGTACCTAATTGATTTTAGCTTTGTTAAATACTGAAGAAAATCAGTAATTTCACTTTCAGACTCTATATAATATTTTCCCCTTTTTGTTCCAACGAAATTTTGAATTTAAGGAAAATGACATTCTTAGTGATTTAATCATGAACTTTTGCCCATTTAGCAAGTAATTTTAAGTTCATTCAATATTTAGAGAATTAAATTACAACTTTATAATGTCCAACTTTACATACACATATATCCTACATAAGCATACTATGTGTAAGTATTATATTTCTTAAATTTCATTATTAAAAATTATATAACACTGATTCCCACTATATTCCGGTGCTGTATATGGTATCTAAACACGTTACTTCATTTAATCTTAAACAGTATGCTGTATAAAGTTGTATCAATCTGATACAAAGATATATACCATATTCAAACAGCACTGTATAAAAAGTATTGCTGAAGAGACCAAAATGGCTGTCAATTAAAATGGAAGTGTACATTAAAAGAAGGTATGCCATCTCTGAAAACATTAAGGGGAAATCAAATAATTTGAAGATAACAGCTCACCTAAAAATAAACAACATGAATATGTTTCATATTGAAAATGAATTCTGAAAACATCACAAGCTTTTAAACAGACCTTGATACTACCAAAGATTTATATATATGCTTTTTGAAAGTGTTCCATTGAAGAGAGTAACACTGAAAACCAAACTAATTGCACTTTTTGTTTTACACAAGCTACCACTTGCATACTGTTTCCATTTCTTTATATTATTTCCAGCCCATTTAGGTAAAGGATTCCATAAATTTACTCAACTATCTTTCTATCACTATTTAGGCTGGCCAGCCCAAACACATTTTATTTGCTTCTTTCATGTGAAACCCACAATTAATGAAGATCTACTGTTAACTTATAACGTAAGTAGTATTATGGCATAAACGCTATTTAACTAATGAATGCTATGTAAAATAAATTTCTATGACATGCCAAACATGGAATGTAGAGCTAGTAGCAACAGATTTATTTCGACTGTGCTAGCTGTTTGACTTTAACATATATTACCCATTTCAATCCTCATAATACCTTGAGGAGAGCAAGACGAGAAATAATTCTAGCATATGGCTTAGTGAATTGAGATTCTGAGAGCTTAAGTGACTTGACAAAGGTCATCCAACATAGGAGCAGATTCAGAAATAACTCCAAATCCAGTGTTCTTACATAAGTGTTTCTTGATGATCTTATTAAGTCAGTATTAAGAAGAGCTGCTTAAATGAGGAAAAGGTAAAATATAGGTAATAAGCAAATTTCAATCACAAAAAAACTCAGAAGTTTAATGAATTGCCTTATTATTTCAGTAACTTGAAAAATACTGCCATATATTATTAAACACATAACATTAAAAACAAAATAAGCACAAAACTTAGTCCAAATCACTCAAAAAATTAAACGTACATATGTTTAAGAAAATTTATATTACCAATTTTATATTATGTTCATTTTCTCAAAATGTGCATTTCAGAAGTAGAAAAAGTAAAAGTGATTTTTACTGTCCTATTTTTGGAAAAGAGAACTGCAAAAGATAAAATGTTATTTTTTCATTTATATGAGCCGCACAAGGACTTGTGGCACATTTTTCACTGTTTTAAAATAAACTATAAAACTAGTGATATTTACCTGAGGAGCAATGCGATTAACAATATGTGAAATCTCATCACTATCTGTGGTGTAAATCTGGTTTTTTCTTCCTTTACCTAAAGAAACAAAAACATTTCTATACATTGTAAACAAAAAACTTAATGCTTTTAAAAAAGCTGTCACTTCTTAGAAAATGATTTTAATTAGCATGGTTACATCTATACACTCCAATATCACATAAAAATTATAGTGATAAAATAACATGAAATTCTCAAAAACATCTGCTATATCAAAGTTCCAGATGTTGGTAGCCGACTGAAATTTTAGTTAAATCCTATTCATCAAATATTTACACACATAAAAACAATAATAATAAATTACCTAACTGCTTTGTCATTGGAGAATTCTGATCCCAAAAGATATCATTCAGTCCATCTGGATCGTTAGGAGAACTGAAGGTACATGACAACGAATCCATTGTCAGCACTCTCTTTGGTGTTTCGTACCTTTCTATGTAAAATAATACATGATTCAAATAACAATTATTACATTTTAAAGCATTACTTTATAAAATCCCAAAGTCAAATAGTAACAGCTTAGACTAGTTTACTTTTTAATGTCCAATATAAAATTTTCTCCCAGGGATGATTAGTTTAACCACAATTGAAATGTTTCACATAAAAATCTGTGCAACACTTCACAAATGTGACTTTTTAACTTAAGGATATTATCAAACACTTTTAGATAACCTAGTAGCTCTATGAATGAATACTATCACTGGGTCTTGGAGTCTTTCAGGAGCCACCTGTAATTTATTCATTATTACTGGGTGTTGGAATCTTTGGGGAGCCACCTGTAATTTATTACTGTTTCAAAGTCAAAGGTATCCCAATGGAAACTTCAGTAAAAAGTCTGTTTAGCCCCCTTTCACCAACTCTAGTCAACTTACGTTAATTACTTTAAAAAGCATTAGTGATCCACTTCTTGAACTTTTTCTACTCACTTTCGCATTTCTACATAAAACTGTTTTCGCTGATTTAGGAATTGCATTATAGGAGTAATAAAGACATGTAAGTAATACAAGTCGTATTTTAAGAGGACGCTCTAGCAAAAGCCTTTGTATGGGGTTAAATTACTGCCGGGCTTTATTACAAGCTTTTTAAAATGGAAAACTAAAAATCGACCAGAACGAAATTTACGGGGCCTTAGTTTCCTACTTTGAGGGTTAGTATACAGAGGAATTTCCGGCTTCCTCATAAAGAGGCGTGACATTACCGAGACGTTGAGTAAAAAGCAATCTTTTCACATAGCCCCTTTTCTAAGGCAACTCAGGGAGAAGAGTTAAAAGGGAAGTAACTTCCCTGAAAAAAGCTGAGGGCAAAGGGCTGCTCAGGTATTTCTCCTGCTCCACCAATGCTGATGACCTGAAAGTAGACTCCCTCCCCAAACAGGTAAACCTCACGACCCATTCCAGTGCAGGGGCAACAAGTGGTGGGCAGTCAGTCCTAACGCGGCAGTGCTCAAACTCGGGAACTAAAACCGTGGGGGGAGTGGCATTGGGTTATTTTTGGCCTCACGAGGGGAGAAGACCAGAGAAGGAAGACACATTTCAGGCTCCACCCGCACCCCACGTTTCCCTGTTGCAAGCTGGGCTGTGGAGCTGCAGCGCCGAAGCCCAGGGAGGCCGCGCTGCCGACGTCTCACCCTCAGGGTAACTTTTACTGCAGGAAGCAGCTGCTGGGGGCTGTTCTTGCTGCCGCATTGGCGGAGGAGGCCCTTCTCCAGCCCCACGGAGCCACGAGCCGCGGGTCGACCTCAGCCGCCTCCTCCCTGGCTCGACCACCGAGCTGCACTCCTCAGCCGCCGCCGTTTTGCGCGGCGAGTCCTTCGGGCCAGGGCCGTCCCCATGTTTCCTTCGCCGACTCATCGCCTATGACCCCCCTCCACCAGCTGCTTCTCCTTTCATATTTTGCAACGCAAGGAGAAAGGCAACAGCACTAGGAACGGCACACCGCGCCAACGGCAGCCGCCATTTTGGCCGATGGGGCCATGCGTAAGAGGGGGCCGCTGATTGGCTCTGCTGGGGCGGGGGGCAAAGCGTCCCGGGCTCCGGCGCTGCGCGCTTCCGCTGCCGGACCTGACGGTGCTCTGGGGGGATCCCGGGGCTCAGATGCTCAGATTCATCCTGATTGGCAGGGAGTTCAGGGATCATAGTCGGGCTAGCATAGTGATGTTGGGAGCCTGGTTGAATTCACTAGTATTATTTAATTCAGTTTACAACTAGAAGTACACATTGTTCAGATATTCCTTATTGTAGGCTTTTGTATTTGTCAAGAAGAGGAAACAAAGATTGGAAAGGAGGAAATAAAACTTTTTTCATAGATGGTATGTTATGTACTTGAAAATTTTTTTTAAGTCGGAATAATTAAGTAATTTAACACGGTTGCTGGGTAAAAAGTAAGTATTCAAAAATCAACTGTTGAAAAGTATTATTAAACACGTTGTCATCCAGTCAATTCCTACTCAGAGGAGCCATGGTGGCTCAGTGGTTAAGCATTTGGCTGCTAACCAAAAGGTCAACAGTTCGAATCCATCAGCTGCTCTTTGGAAACCCTGTCGGGCAGTTCTGCTCTGTCCTATAAGTCAGAGTATACCATTAACAAATATGAAAGTGAATTTTAAAGGAAATACATGTATAAAATAGCATGCAAAATATCAAATAACTAGGAATAAATTTAACCAAAGACTGTAACACCTTTATGGAGAGAACTGTAGTTTTTTTTTTTTTTGGCGGAAAAAAAACTTTTAATTAGAACAATCTAATTAAATGGAGGGTTAATCAGTTTTCATGAGTTGAAAGACTCAATATTATTACAGTGTCAGCTCTCTCCAAATTAATCTATGGAGTCAATTAAAATCCATTAAAAATCCCAGCTTTTTGTCGCATGACTTGTTTATTTTTAGGGAGGTGACAAGTTTATTTTAAAATTGATACGAAAATGCAAAGGGCCAAAAATATCCAAGATAGTCTTGAAGATTTCTTGAAGAATAATTAAGTGGGATATCCACCAAGTATCAAGACTCTTTATAAAAGTTCGGTAATTAAGACAGTATAGTAATGGTGAAAGGATAGACAAAGGAAGGGAACAGAGTGAATACCTAGGAAACAGATCTTTCCCAAAGTGGACATTTGATTTATGACAAAGGGGACCCTCCTGAGTAGTGGGAAAAGAAATTTTGAAAACAGATAGTACATAGTCAACGTGATATTCAAATAGAAAAGAAAAAAGAAAAGAAACTTGATCCCTACTGTGATGGTTGAGGTTGTGTGTCAGCTTGGCTGGGCCGTGACTCTCAGTGGTTTGGCAGTTACGATGTAGTTGGGCAGCTTTGTAATGATGTAATCACCTCCACAATGAGAGCTGATATAATGTAATCACCTCCACGGTGAGATCTGCTATGAGCAGCCAATCCGTTGAAAGGGAGTTTCCTTGGGGGTGTAGCCTGCATCCAATATACGAGGACTTTCTGGCCGACTTTTGCTCTCTCTGGATTCTTATCTGACCCCTGGTTCTTGAGACTTGAGCTAGCAGCTTACCTGCTGATCTTGGGAGTTGTTGGTCTCTGCAACCTGTGAGCCAGAGGCCTACTCTCTGACCTGCTGATCTTGGGTTTGCCAGCCTCTGCAGCTACCTGGGTCAGGAGAAGCCTCCAGCCTGATTCACGGGCTTGGTATTTACCAGTTTCTACAACCGCATGAGCCATTTCCTTGATATAAACCTCCCCTTCTTTCTCTCCCTCTCTCTCTCTCTGTATATATATACACACATGACCAGTACCTGGAGAAGGACATCATGCTTGCCAAAGTAGAGGGTCAACGAAAAAGAGGAAGACCCTCAATGAGGTGGATTGACACAGTGGCTGCAACAATGGGTTCAAGCATAACAAGGATTGTGAGGATGGCACAGAACCGGCCAGTGTTTCGTTCTGTTATACATGGGGTCACTGTGAGTTGGAACCGGTAACAACAGCACCTAAGAACAACAGTATATATATGGAGCCTTGGTGGTACAGTGATTAAGTAAGAGCTACGGCTGCTAACCAAAAGGTCAGCAGTTTGATCCACCAGCCGCTCCTTAGAAACCCTGTGGGGCAGTTCCACGCTGTCTTACAGGGTCACTATGAGTTATAATCGACTTGATGGCAATGGGTTTGATTTTTTGTTTTTATATAGAATGTATAAAAGACTGACAACTAACAAGCAAAATGGGTGCGATACTTGAGCAGGCTATCATGCAAACAGTTAAGAGCTGGGCTGCTAACTCCTCTTGTGACAGTTCACATCCACCCAGAGTCTCCTGCAAAAAATGGCCTCATGTTCTCCTTTCGAAAGGTCACAGGCATGGAAAACCTATCGAGCATTTTTACTCTGAAACACATGAGATTACCATGAGTTGGAATCAACTAGACAGCACCCGGTAGATGATCGACAAACTTACAGAAAGACGCTCAACCTCGTTTGGTATCAGGAAAATGCAAATGAAAACCACAGTGAGATACTGCTGCACGCTCACTAGATGGCTAAAATTAAAAAGACTGACAAATGAGTATCAAGGAAGTAAACCGATGGGAGCCCTCATGTATTGCTGGTGAGAGTATAACTGGATACAACCAGTTTGGAAAACAGATTGTGCATTATTGACCTTCTGAGGTAGCAACCTCACTTCCAGGAATATACCTGATGGAAATGCATGGACTTGTGCATCAAGAAACATTTCATAAAAATGCTGTTAGCAATAAAATTCAAAATTACCTGAAAATGGTAGCAAACCAAATACCCTTCAACATAAAATCAGTAAGTATATCGAGGTATATTAAGGTAGTTACCTTAAAAGTCAGGATAATGTTTACTTTGGGAGGTGAGAAAGGAGAGTGATTAGAAAAGGATAGAGGTGGGTAGGGGAGCATCTAAGGTGTTGACTTTGTTCATTTTCCTGTGCTAGTTGTTGATTACAAGAACGTTCAAATTGTGATAATTCATTGAACTATACATTTTCTTCTGTGCACTTTTCTGTGTACATGTTATATTTATCAATACAAACATTTTACAAGTTTAATGTAAAGCAAAAATTTTTATTTTCAACAGGAACTCTTCTATCTTTGTAACTTATTTTGCTTTCCCTCTTCATGTTGGTTGACAGGAATCCTAGAACAAAATTTGAGGTTCTGCTCTAGCAATTATCTAACCTATTATAACCAAGTAATTCCAGTCTTTTTCCTTAGTCCTTGACTTTCTACTAATACTTTCTCTTGCCATGATTGTTTTTACATATATAAAAAACAATCATGTATATATGTATATATACACATATATATGTAGTTAGATTTGGCACCGTTTAGTTGGTTCTAAGTCATAGCGACCCTGTAGGACAGAGTAGAACTGCTCCATAGAGTTTCCAAGGAGCAGCTGGTGAATTTGAACCACCAACCTTTTGGTTAGCAGCTGAGCTGTTAACCACTATGCCACCAG